TTCCCACTTGATGCCATTGTCATTTCTCCCTTTTTTTTTTTTTTGTTGACAAAGTTCGATTAAATAGCCATTTGATGATTTTTGTATTTCTTTCAGCAAATTGAATGAGCAAATGCCATTTATACTGCACACATACACATGCTTATATATGTATGTATGTTAGCATGTGGCAACAACAATAACGGTCGGTCAACAAGCAATTGCAAGGCCCAAAAGAGAGTAGTATAATGAAAAAGTAGAACAAGAGCGAGTGCGCGAGCGAACAAGAAATGTATGCAGATTGCACTGTGGTTCGAAAGCCGGCATTTGCAATGTGAAATTGTGTGTGTAATATTTATGAGCATACATAGCTTTCGCTCAGTATCTCATGTGCTGCCTGCACTGTGCATGAAACATGGCGTGTCAACACAATTGTCAAATCAACAACAATGACGGTCAATAAACTTTTCCCAGTGTACCACCTTTCATATGTGTGTGTGCGTGTAGAGATATTACCGAGTGTATGTCTGTTTCCATGGCACTAGCACGTAGCGTTTTCATTTGCAATTTTGCAATTGTTTGAAATGATTTTCTTATTTGCACATACACTCACACACATACATAAAATCAAGCGTCTTGCTAAATTAAAGCAACAAAAAAAAAAAAAACATTTGAAAAAGAGAGCAAAACAACCGCTCTCTTTAACAAGGGTGACCACTCAATCGCATTTTTCGCACACACGCAGATGCGTTTATTTGGATGGCTGCTGCGGAAGCATTACGCAAGGCAAGCCGAACAACAGCTGACAGGCACAAGGTGCAACAGCTAGCCATGTGCGTGTGTGTGCGTGTGACAAGTGGGACAGCGACGGCCATCTGGGGGTTGCCAATGTTCGCGACGCACTCTGCCTGGCACAATGTAAATAGATAATGTTGCCAGATTAAATGTGTGCTAAATAGGCTCAAGTTAACGAATGTAAATGCCTCTTACTGTGATTGTATATATATGTGTGTTTCTGTTTGATTAGGCTCTATGTTCATATATATGTAATATATAATTTGATTGTGTTGTTGTTTTTTGTTACCATGGCGTTGCACTGTCACGCTGCCTGCACCTTGCTTTTACTTGCGTGCCATATACCATGCCCTACACACACACATACGCGCGCGCACACTAACAGCAGGCACTAACACGGAGCCAATTTCAGGGGCAACGACTTGGCCGATCAGCTGGCTTAGCCCTGGTGTTAACGATACAAACATCGCTAGCGAGATTTATCGATAAATTGAACTAACAATTTTGACAACTTTGTTATGACGCGCGCACTCTTTCGTTTCCTCTCTTTCTCTTTGGCTCATTGTGTACTTACCAATTTTGACAAATTCCTTGGGCGTTCGACCACCAGCGATCAGCCAGCGTATCCACTCAATATTATCGGGATTGTCGATGGGTGTGCCAGGATTAAATAATGTATCCATAATGGAATCCAAGTCGGGCGTCGGGCTGCCACGGCAACATTCTGTATTGATTAGGGCGGCTACCTCCTTGCGGCTACGCAATATGAACGATGATGTGCTAAAGAAGAAGCTTGGCTTGGCACCCGCATTCCCGGCACCGCCTTCGTTCATTTCATCCGCACTCGCTGTTAGCCCGCTGCCGGCATTGCTATGACTGCTGCGTGCGCTGCTCTGCTGTGTATCCCAATCGTGGAACGGTGAATTGCCGGTTGCACCAGAGTCGGTGGCCCCAGTGCGCGCCGCTCCGCCGCTCTCGGCGCTTGTGGTGCTGCTGCTTGTACTGCTGCTGCTGCTGCTGGCCACATTAGCCAGCTGAAATTGCTGCGGATACGCCTCAAGCTCGTCAGTGCCGATGCGATCCTCATTGCCTGCTCTTCGTCTGTTGTTATCCTGCTGTGGAGGGGGATGTTGTTCTTGTTGCTGTGGATGCTGATGAGACTGTTGTTCCGGCTCATCGTCGTCTTCCTCATCGATACTTATATCAGCATTGGATATGTTGTCATCTTCGTCCATGCTGCTATATTGTTTTTTATGTTATCGCCTATCGCTAATCGCCAATCGCGTTTGATATTTTTTTTTTCGCTTTGGCTGAAAAAGCAGACGACTGCAAATGCCGCTGCTGCCGTTGCGGCTGCTGTTGTTGCTTCTGTTTCTGCTTTGCTTGGCACGTCTCAGCACAGAGTTTAAATTGCCTTTTAGCGTCTTGTTCGTCGTCGTTGTCTCTCGTCTTGGCGTTTGCTTGTTTCAAACAAGTTTTCTTTTTTGGTTCTTCTTCTTATGCTGTTGCTGTTGCCTCGTTTTACACTGCGGGATTTTTGTGTTTGGCTTGAAACATGCCACAAAAAAAATTTATGTTGCCTAGCGCTTTAGGGATATATTTTTTTTTCTTAATCTTTGTTTTTTTTTTTTCTTTTCTATAAATATATATATAGGTATAAAAGAAATTTTTAAAATTTTTAGTGCACTGGGATTACGAAAAAAAAAAACCAAATAGTATACAAAACAAAAACACACGGGAATTTTAATAGCACCAAAACACTTGACTCACTACTGTTTTAGATTTTTTTTTGTTTTAACCGCTTCTCACATCTCGCTCCGGTTCTGCTTCAGCTTCTGTTTTCGGTTTCTGCCTCTTGACGTTGCTTGCCCGACCTACTATTATCTATGAACATCCTATGAGCTTATGCGCTGCTTTGGCAGGAGAAACACGAATACATTGTGTGCACATATATATCATATGTATGTACATATATATCAATGTGTATATATATTATTTATATATATATATATACATATATATATATATATATTGAACGTAGGTCGGACTGCCACTTAACAATCTGCACGATGTTTTATCGAGTTCGCAAATTTCTTATTCACACACATGCTTACTGCACAACTACACACGCATTTAGGCACACACACGAACGAACTAACGAACGCACACATATATATATATAAGTATATGTATATATATTTATATATGTATGTATATAACCAAATATATTACTCGTGCAATGAACTTGCCAATTATAATATCAGTTACTTTTGCTCGTTACGGTTAGCGCTAGCCCGTGCTTAATAATTCATTTGTATTCGTTTAATTTGTTGTACCTACAAACGTGCTCGATTTCGTTGGATTTCGCTTGCTCTTGTGTGTTGAAATTACACAGTCTCTGTATGTGAATTTTATCTCTTCAATGCTATGTGGTTCTTGTAAAACTGCCAGTCACAGCGATGCGTTGGCACGCACAACAAGAAGAAGACTGCAGACAAATCAAGTGATTCGTTATCGATAAACAATGTGGCATTTAAATATCGAACAGCTGTTAAATTTTACTTTGCCAAAATATTTAAATTGAATTAAATTGAAATGCCGGAAATAAGATATAAAAGAAAGTTCACAACTTTCTTGTAAATTATAGTCAGTAACTCTTTAAAGTATGCCTTCGATTAGCTTATCGACTAAACCAATCGCGATTTCGTAACATATTTTGGCACTTGTCAGCCCCTCACCGCCTTTCCTAAGTGGTAATAAATTTACATAAGAACAAATCATGCTTGGACTGTCTATTTACTATATAATATGTATTTATTTGTATTATATGTTAAAGTTAGTGCTTCTTATTTATTTTTATTCGATTCATCTCGATATCGACTGAGAGTTCCAGCATCCACAGCACGAACAGCTGACCGCTGCCTTACAGACGGCGACCGCGACGGCCACCCTTCCTACGCGTTGAGTCTGACGGGATGGGTGTCACATCCTCGATGCGACCGATTTTCATGGAAGAACGTGCCAGAGCGCGCAGCGCAGATTGAGCACCGGGACCGGGCGTTTTGGTCTTGTTGCCGCCAGTTGCACGCAATTTGATGTGCAGTGCTGTAATGCCGAGTAATTTGCATTTCTCAGCGACATCCTAAAAAAAAACAAAAAGTTACATTTAAAATATGCCACAAATAAGCTGATCCATTTCTATCAATTTACCTGAGCTGCCAACATTGCCGCGTAGGGCGATGCTTCGTCACGATCGGCTTTGACTTTCATGCCGCCGGTGACACGAGCGATTGTCTCACGGCCAGACAAGTCAGTAACGTGCACGAACGTGTCGTTAAAGCTAGCATAAATGTGAGCGACGCCAAAGACGATCTCACCGTCGCGCACCTGGGGGCCGAGCTGCACTTGGACTTCTTCCTTTTGAACTTTTGCCTTACGAGGCGCCATTTTGTCTCACTGCTGTTGAAGAGAGTCGCAATCACCGGTTTATTCGATTGTTGTCAAACAAACAGCACAAAAAAAAACAAAACAAACAAAAAATAACAAATATGTAATTTTGCAACATCTGTGTCATTTTGGCACGTCTACGATTTGTAATTGATTTTCTTGTTAGACAATTGTATATATCACTTGTGTTATGTTTACGTTTTTTTCAAAAACTTTGAGAACAGTCTTATTTCTATGTGAAATTGCAAGAGAAATTCGCGAAACGAACCAATTGTGTGAACCGGATATTTGAAAAGAGAGCAGCACTGTAGGGATGTCACGAGCCATCGATATCGTTTGAGTCATCGATACCATAAGTATTCGATATATAAGCGTATTTTGTTACTGCATGCGAGCGCGCCTTTGCCTTTGAAATGTTTGTCGAGCTGCAGAATTAAAAATGGACGTGTGTTAAATTTGTATATAGTTATATTTAATATTAATAGTATTCAAAAAGAAGTAACTTCAGTTAATATTTTGACATAGATAAGAAAGAGACAGCAGTTAGCATTCAGTATTCAGTGCATTACAGTAATCGATTAATTTGGATGAAAATAACGGGTATGCTTGCAAATGTGCATAGTTAAGAAAGAGATGGCGCATACAGTTATCTTTTTATACTCATTCATTCTTTGATATATTATTATAAAATTCTATTACAATTAAGAGTAATTTAAACGATTAATACAGTTTTCATATAAATATGATATATAATTAGGCAGATAACACGACATACAACATTTAGATAATGACGATGATTTTATTAAGATAATATGGAAAACAAGAAACATATTGACAGTAATCAGGCGACCGGTGCGAATTGAACGAGCGACTTAATACGACGCAGTAGAGCGGTATTAAAGTTTTTACATTTCATTGAATACTCTTCGCTGGCGGTAATTAATTGTGTACAAAATGTTTCATTCAAATTGTATATCAGCATTTGCTTCAGCTCAGCTATCTCATCGTGCGAGGCATTCAGCACGGACATATTATTGGGATCTGCAAAATGCGATATATAAACTCAAATTAGAATGGAACTCATGAATTCAATTTGATAATAAAAATTACCTAGACAGGTTTCGTTGATGGATGTACGATTTTCGCGCGAATAGATGACTGCATTGCGGAAATAGAAATCCAAATGTATCCAAAGTAAATATAAATTTTGTTCAGCTATGAAAACAGCTAACATTAGTTCGTTGCTCTTCTCCGAGTGACGTTGACTCAGTTCCAAGTAGTTTTGTTTGCCTAAATAAAATGATTTATATATAATTTGACAATAATCTATAGATAGGATCTATTTGCTTACCAGTCGGACCAAATGTTATGTTGGGCAGTGAGGCGCGCTGTTGCACCAAATTGTCAGCGATTGACTTCTGTGACAGGAAATAGGCAATCGAGCCCTTCAGCTGATTCATTATGGTCTGCATCACAGCTGTCAGCTTCTTGCAATCCGATTTGCCCGAGCTGAAAATGCAAATCATTAAGGTATAATATATATATATATATAATAGGGAGTTTGCTGATCAACTTACAGTGGTGTCACATCACTTATCATGGTGGTTATCAAGTATTTGGATGTGATGCCGTCGCGCACATGACTTGTGACAGCGTGTCGGCAAAATAAGGATAGATTCGCTGTGATGTCTAGGAAGTATTTAATATGCTGACTCTTTTGCTCCTCGGACATTTCGGGCTCATCGTTGTGCTCCGGCTCGACCATGCGATCCATAGTCTCCTCATTGATCGTGAAGCGACCAAAGACCACAATCATCAACTGCTGCAGCCGGTTGAGGCGATTGTTCATCTCGACATCGTGATGGATTTTTAAGCACTTCTCAATCGCCGACACATCGTAGGTTGTGGTGCGTGCGAATAGATTTGTGATCGTTGCCAGAAGCTTGAGATTGCCCAATTGCATGAATGGCGATGCGGCGCGCAGCAAGCCCTCAATCATCTCAATGTGAGCGAACAGGAAATTGAGCACTTGCAGCGAGGCGGAATTGTTGCTAATGCCCAGCGTGTCGATGATGCTGTCGCATAATGTCAACGCCGGCATCAGTATGGAACGGAATCGTTCATCCACCGCCGGTATAAAATTGCCCGGCGAAGAGCGTTCTATTTCGGTCGACTGAAGATCCGGCTGCATATCAAAGACGGTCATATTGGCCAGCACGCCCAAGGCTCCATCGTTCAGCAGCAGGGTGGCGCCCAAATATGTTTCGGCCGTTTGGGTTAGGAATGCCATGCACGACTCGTAGACGAACAGAGGCCGCATGTTGTCTGGCTCGGGTTTCAACACATCATGCAGACTCTCGTCCGACTTGGCCAGGCTGCTGAGCAAGTGCTTCAAATAGCCGCGTCTGGCAATTGTTTCGCTCAGCGTGCTAAAAGCGCGCAGCTCCGATATCAGATCCAGGCAGGATAAGGCCAGCATACTGCAAACATCATGACCCGTAATGGCATCATGGCATATCGTATCGATCAGTTTTTCGCCCATGCTGCTTATGATCTCAGCTGCCAATTCCTTCCGATAGGGCTCATCGTCCTCCAAGTTATCGGGGTTCTCCTTGCAGTCCAAAAACCTGAAATTGTAATCGAATTTTATATGTGAGTAGATATAGACACATATATATATATATATTCATTGTTTATCTCACGTTTCATCGTATTCCACTTGCGCCTCGCTGCGCACGCGCTTCACAATGCGCAGACAGTTGAGCAGCGTGGCATAGAGGTTGATGCTCAGCTTTTGCGACTTCACCTCACAGGTCATGATCCAGTCGATGAGGCGCTTCAGTATGAAACGCAGGTTGCTGTTGCTGCAGCTGTTGCTGCTTAGCAGATTGCCCTGGACGTGGCATAGCGTTAGATTGTTGTTGCCGACGCTCTGGTTGTTGTTGCCATTGCCGTTGGCATCGACAGCAGCAGAGACGTCCGTCAGATTGACAACATTGCCATGCTCGTCTATGGTGCGTTGATCCTCCAGCTGATGGTAGCAATGCCTCAGGTTAGCCGACAGCAACAAAATCGTATCGGTCACCTGCACAGAGATCTTGATCAGCGGCTGTTGCGGCTCTACCTTCAGCATTATCTTCTCAATGATGTCGATGATGTGCTGCTTCCGCAGACTTATCGGCAGCACCGTGTTGGGCATCAGGCTGAAGAGCACTTGGATTAGATTGCACCAGCCACTCATATAGCTGTAGGTGGCGAATCTCTGCATGCGCACGCCATTCAATTTGATAGCGTATTGAAGGATGACGGTGATCTCCTCAATGATCGCCTTGCGCTGACCGCTCGCAATGGTGCTCTGCACGTGACGCAGTTCGTCGTGCAGAATGTCGTGCAGCTTGTGTATATTGATCATGCCGGCCGCATTTGCGCTGCTGCCCCTGCCCGCCTCGCAATCGGTGAGCAAGTTGCCCAGCAGGCGTTCATCGAAGAACTCCAGCTTGGGCTGGACCAGCGTTTGTGTCTCCAGCTTGAGGCAGTCGAACAAACGGTTCGCGTGCAGACCCAACGATGACGTGTGCAACATCACACGACTGGGCAGAATATCACTGAAGTGATTGGGCACCGGCGGCGTCAACAAATTGTTGCCAATCTCCACGGGCATGTTGTGCCCATTGCGCTGCGTCTCTGAATTGACAGCCAGCAGTATGTCGGACAACAGAGCATAGCGTGTCGTCTGGCCGTAGGTGGCGGCCAGCTTCATCTCGATGGAGACGCAATTCATGATGTGGCTCATGGCGTGCAGCACATTGTCCTCGTTGAAATGACGGAAGGGCATCGCAGTCAGATGGCGCAGCAGAAAGTCATTGCAGGTCAGACGGAAGTAGCGTAGAATTGGCTCCGATGTACGGCGGTTGGCGCACAGGCCATGGAATAGATGATAAATGCGTTCCACAATGTGAGCCGTATGCTCGCAATACTCGTCGCTCTGTCGCTGTTGCTGAGAGGGGGAGAGGTAGAGTTTAGTATTTATATAAATAATAAAGATAATGAATCTACCTCTAGATGACGCTCCAGCAGCAGCACCATTGAATTGATGCATGAGCAATTCACGTCCAGGCCCAGTTGCTGCTGATTCTCATTGCCCGGGAAGTCGCGTAGGACTTCGATGCCAAGCAGAAAGTATATGAAATTGGGCATTGGCTGGCTGAGATTGACCTCGAATAGATGGATGATCGCCTCCTTAATCTGCAGTTCGATGCGCGCCGGCTTCCTTATATCGAGCGCATCCAGATCCACCTGCAATTCGCTGTCATTTAGACTCGCATTGTTTGCATATTTATAGGGATCGTTGGTCTTGAATTGCTCTTGCTCATCATCGTAAGTCTGCTGGATGCGATGCATCTCGAGGCATTCGACAAATCGCTGGCGTATCTCTAGCTTCTCATTGGTGCCATGCGCATACATGTTCAGGATCTGGGTAGTCACGTCGGGCAGCAGGCTGACGGCACTGAGGATCTTGATTGCGGCCAGGGTGTGGCGCGGCAGCCAACTGTTGAAGCTGACGAACTTGATGATATTGAGGACGTAGTCGGGATTGCGAGTGCGCGGATTCAGATCGAGCAGCATGCGATTGAGGCCCAGCAACAAAATCGAGCTATTCGATGTGGCGTGCGCCTCGAAGAAGGCATTCTGCTTCGACAGCGCACACTCGAGCATCAGCAGCGCGTAGAGGGCGCAATCCTCGAGCAGATCCTTGCCATTGAACTGATTGAAGTCGTCGAGGCGTTCGCGTGCCTCCTCAACGATCAGTAGGATCAGACGCAGCACATCCGACTTGACGTGCAGCTGCAGCATTACGTGATAGCCGGGATATGGATGCTCGTCGCGTTCCTCAAAGAAATCGGATGCCTTCGGCCGATAGCTGGCGAGCAGGAAATATAGCAATTTCAGGCAGCTGGCGCCCACGGCCCACTTCTCGGTGACATCCTTGTAGGCACGATTGTAGAACTTCAGCAGTATCGAGTCGATGACAAATTTCAAATATGGATCATAGCCGGGCTGGCGTGGACCGCAGCCCAAGCTCTTTGGCATATTGGTGGTCATCAGATTGTAGAGCAGCTGGAGTACGCCACGGCTCAATTTGTATTCCTCCAGGCGACTCTCGTTCTGATTGATCTCCTCCGCCAAGCTGAACACCGGATAGGTCGAGGTCACCGTCGGTAATGTGGGTATAATTTGTGACTCCTCCAGGTGAAACCAAATGTTGCGTGCCGTCTCCTTGGAGCGCGCCAAGGCAGCAAGCGTGAACAGTATTTCACCCTTGAGATTAACGGGCGTGGCACACGCCACCAGACCGAGCAGCACCTGCGGCGTCTGCCAATTGGCATTGTCGCAGAGCATTATGCGCGAGATCTCATCCTTATCCGCAACGGCCTGCATAACGCCCATCACGGCGGCCATGTGCTCCGCCTCGCGTGGCGTCATATTTCGTGGTATGCCACTGCGATAAATCGAACCACTATCGGGTGATACGGTATCATAGTCTGTGCGCATATTGCTGTAAGCAGAGTCCAAGGGATTACAATCTGTTGTGGATGCAAATGCTCTGGTCTGAACTCACTTGAAATAATTGTTGAGCGCATAGAAGAAGTGATCCCAGCTAACGGCATAGGTGGACGATAGATTCTGCGAGTTCTTGAGCAGATTGAAAGCGCAGCGTGCCGCAAATTCGGTGCGGGTCAGGCCAGCTATCATCTTCAGGTACGATCTGAAGAGCGTTTGGGGCAGCAGCTCGCTGGCCAGGCGTATGAACTTGAACAGGGAGACAGCACGTGAGGTATTCTGTACGTAGTTGCCGGAATTCGGTGTGGAGACGTCGGTGGGACCCCAATACTCGTTGCATAGGATAATCGTGACACGCTTATCCCCATAGAGCCGGGCCACGCACAGCATCAGCAGCTCAAAGCTGCAGTCCAAATTGGGCGGCGGTTCGAGGCCTTCGTTTTGGAAACTAATCACGGTGCGCGCCGTCTCATCGGCGCGTCCACGCAGCTCCGAGACCTTGGCGTGCATGAAGTCTATGAAGTCCGTGATGAGCAGATGCAGGCGACGATAAATGAATTCGGTGCTGGAAGTGTTTAAGAATATTTTAAGCAAAAGTTCATACATCTATATATATATATATATATCCATAGAGCTTACCTATAGACCACATCCTTGTTAAGCAGATGATGATAGATGTATGTGAAGACATTCGCCGCGAGGGCCTCATCAATCAGCTGCTCATCGCGATTGATCAGGGCGCCCACAATGCTCTGATATTCGGTCGGCGCCTGGCGCAGGCTGGCCAATGTTAGGCCAAAGCTATATTTGATTAGGACAGCAAAGTATTGTGTCTGCCAGGTGCTCTGGGCATAGATTGCATCAATGAAACACTTGGCATAGTCCGGATCGCTTAAAATGGGCAGCTTTGCCGTATGCGGACTATTGCACTCGGTTATCAGCAATACGGACGTATCATAGGCATACATCAGGGCCATTAGCATTATTAGTGTCACATCCTCCAAGTTGCCATCGGGATCGGCGGACTTTGTACTGGCCAAATGTTGCAGCAGACGTATGGCAATGTTTTTGGGCAGGCCACGTTGAGCGGACCAATTGAAGAGAGCCATGGCCAGGGCTCTGCGTATATCCTGATAGAGGGCAAGCACCTGATTCTGGTGTCTCTTCGAGCCGAAGGCGCGATTCTTGGTCAGCAAATTGATCTACATGGAGAATATATTACAGTTGAGGAGCTTTTACTTTAGTTATATGTGCACTTTACCTCCTTTTCAATATCCATTTCAATGAGCAGCTCCAGCAGACGTCCCAGTATATTGGAATCTTCGACGAGATTCTGGCAATAGTTGTTGATCAAGGTGGTCATCTGCAAAGGGATTTAACATATATGTTAAAGTGAAATATATAAGATGTCTGCATCGTTAATTACCTCTCTGGGCAGCTCGGTGCTCCAGGAGACGCCGCTGATTGCCTGGAACATGTCGCGCAGCGTGCAGGTAATTGCTTTGCGGCCATCATAGTAGAGCAATACGGCAACAAGGCCGCGCGGCAAGCCCGGATGATGCACTTGCTGGCGCTGGGCGGTGCAGAGCAATTCCAATGCGAAGATCTCATCTAGATCGAACATATCCGAAATTATAATTGCTTCATCAATGATTTCCTGAGAGAGTTCGACTTTGCGCGTTTGTCCCGCTAGCATGACGCCCTCCAGCATGGCGTTGCGCAAATGTGTGCGGCTCTTCTCGCTCTTCGGCTGCATTGGGGGAGTGGTTGAGGAGGAGGATGCGAGAAGACGCTTTAGGTTAGGTCTCCTTGTTCTACGAATTCAACTTACCGGATTGCGTAGGAAGTTTGTAAAGTTCTGTTTGTACTTTTTGAGACTGAGCTCAAAATCGCCGGTGACCTCAGTCGGGTTTCGTATGGCCATTTGGCATATATCATACAGACGCTTGTACGGCGTCCACATGTCCTCAAGCACAGGTCCTAAACGCAATCATTTCAATTAATATTCATATGCATAGTACAGTTCATGTCGAAATTTGCAGCTACTTACCATTATCCATTTTGCGTTAGTGCTTCGCTTGCCTATCTACTCACAATAAACTAAAACTTAAGTTTAAGCATAAAACGCGGCAAATGTCTTCCTGTTGCCGGCTTGCGAAACTAACAATTTCGATTGGCGATAACGATAATTGTGGCTGGCGAAAAATCTGGATATAAGATGAGCAAAACGCGCCGCTCAGCTGATTTTATTAATGGGAATTGGGCAGAGTGAAAGCAACAACTTTGTACATATTGATATTCTATATGTTACATTAACAATTATATCAATACGAATAAATAATATACAAATAACAGCTGATGCCTGTTTGCAAAACGAACTATGTTGATAAATGTCAAAATGCTTTGCTCAGCTGCTCATGCCATCACTAGCGCACAGTGTAAACAACAAATTATGCAGTTCAGCAAATATATTTTGCAATTATTTTCCATTGAACGAGATAAGCTGATGGACGAATCAAGCGCATCTATAGTATTAGATATTGGTATTCGTTTTTTTTTGCCGGTAATTTCGAAAAGCGATACCCGCTGGTTTTCCATGCATGTATTATTCGTTTTGATTATCGCGGGTACGGAATATCCCACATATGTTCTGCTCATCGGTAAATATCGCTCGCTGTATTTAAATGAACGTTGCTCAACACTAATGCAGATGGCCCACGTGCATTACTGCTTTGCACTCGAATAAATTGTTTATGAAAGATGGATAGCCCAAAAGAACGCGATGATAAGAAAAGAGTATGTAAATAATATAAACTAATGTAGTTATACTCATCCACGTTTAATACTCCAACAGATAAAACAGTTGACTTTGGAAAATGGCGTGGTGAAGGATGAAAAGAAAGTAGTGCGACAATTTTACAGGCAATGTAAAAGTGAATTTCTTGAAGAGAATGATTATGAGGCAGTTGATCCAAATAAGATCTCCAATGAATGCCATGAAGAAATACAACACTTTAATCTAGCCACACACGATGCATGGATCGTCCAGTGCCCAAGAGGCATCAATATAAATTCATTGGCTGGCAAGCGGATTAAGTTGCCCGGTCGGCGTTATGTGGGTGACATTCAGGTGCGGAGCACACACTATGAACGGCCATTGACTCATTCCATTGGCTATGTGAACAGCAAGGGCAAGTATGCCGTACGTTCGATGCCAATGGCCGGCCATGTTGTGATCAGTAAACGTCTTAATATGCAAGAGCCAGATGCGCTTGACAATGGAGAGACGAATGCATTTCCAAAGACGGTTGGACCGCAAAAGTTCAGACTGCCGGTTCGTCATCCGTTCTTTGGGCGTGACTACAAGACGCGCGTTGATGTCGACAAGAAGACGGCAAAAAAGCTACGCAATGCGGAGAAAATGTGTGCCGAAGCGACAAAGAAATTGCGTTCCACTGGTAATTTCTATAGAATACGCCAGAAGCTTTTGGCCAGTACCCAGACGCTGAAACAGAAGGAGCACGATGTGCGTCAGTCGGTTATAACAGGCGTAGCTCCTAAATTCCTGGAGAAGAGCGATCATCCCGACTATGTGGATTTGTTGGACTCGAGTGACGGAGACACCACGGTTAAGCAAGAGATCGAGGAGAAGCAGCCTGTTAAAAAGAAGAAATCCAACAAAAGCAAAGTGGAACATAACTTTGAGGACAACGATACAGAAAAACCCAATGAAAACAAGAACTTGGAAGATAACTCACAAGACAGTAATGCAGAGAAACCCAGTAAGAAGTTGGAAAATAACTCGGAGGACAACAATGCGGTGAAGTCCAATAAAAAGAAAAAATTGGAAAGCAACTCAGAAGACAACAATGCGGTGAAGTCCAATAAAAAGAAGAAATTGGAAAACAACTCAGAAGACAACAATGCGGAGAAGCCCACTAAAAAGAAGAAATTGGAAATCAACTCGGATGATAGCACTCCGGAGAGGCCCAGTAAAAAGAAGAGTTTGGACGGCTTTGAAAGTACAATTCAGAAAAGTGTGGAAGTGTATTAATTTAAATTATCGACATTCGTAAATATGCGTTATGTATATAAATATAAATATTTTAAATTTTAAAAGTTACGCATTTTATATTTGCTCTTCGTTGTGAATAGTTTTATAGAAAGAAGCAGACGATTCTTATCGATTGTGGATCGTGTGCTTGTCGCGATTAATATCGGCCTTTAATGTGAACTAAAAACTAACCAAACAAATCGTTATTAATTCTGGTAACATGCTTAGCATCAAAACACAATAGAAAAATACCAAATTAAGTTATTTATTGGCAACATAATTACTTGACAGTTTGTATGTATGGAATGCGATCTTTTACCATATTTTTCGCTAACTGCTTATATTTATAGATTCAAAATTATGGGCAGATTTAGTTATTTACGCGAGGGCGTCAATGTGGCCCTTCTCATGGGTGCCGGTGATGTGATCGCACAGTTCTTTATCGAAAAGAAAGAGTTCAGTGCTTGGAATATCTCACGGACGGCACGTTTCAGTGCTGTGGGTCTAATTGTTGTTGGACCTTCTTTACGCAAATGGTATAGCACTATGGATAGGTTGGTATCCAAAGAGCAGACGGCGATAAAGCGGGGCTTTAAGAAGATGCTGTTAGATCAGTGCCTATTTGCGCCCCCATTCACATTGCTGCTTACATATTTGATTCCGTTTGTGAATGGCGAGAAACATGAGAATATTGTGCACCACGTTCGCCAGAACTATTTCACGATATTGAAGAATAGTTTTTTGTTATGGCCATTGGCACAAACAATTAATTTCATTGTTGTGCCATCTCAGTACCAAGTGATTTATGTCCAGATAGTGGCTCTGATTTGGAATTGCTATTTATCGGGCGCTCTCAATTCTTGATAAATATCAGTTTGTTTATTTTCTTTTAACAGGTACGAATAGTAAACCAGATGAAAAATAATTAATTAACCAGATGTGAAAATAAACATAAATGCAATAGCGAGTATAGTACATACAGTATATGCACGTTTCTTTTTCTTTCCAATTGGAAATTCTATAATTTGGAGAAAAATCAGCTGTGTGGGCGACATTCACGTGTGAATGCGTTTGCATCGATAAAATTGTCACTTATCGATAACATCACAGCTCTGTTGAGCAGCTTTCTGCGCGCGTTCAATTGCTATTTGTCATATATTTCTCTAGAAAATAAAACTTAAAAATGCAGCAGACCCGTGAGATACTGACCTTTCAGTTCGGTACATATGCCAATTATGTGGGTGCACATTTCTGGAATCAGCAGGTGAGCGACAAACACAAATACCAAACAGCTGGTCAACTTATGCATATCTTGTAGGAGGCAAACTTTGTTTATGATCGTGAGGGCAATATAGCGGAGGAGCAGCTGCCTCAGAATGACATCCTTTATAGAGAGGGTCTCAATGATCAAAAACAGACGACATATACGCCACGATTGCTATCGGTTGATTTACTGGGCACATTGCGGCATTTGCCAGTTGTTGGCGAATTGTATGGCAACTTTTTGCCATTGACGGACGAACAGAACGCAGATGAGCTACAGAAAACTAAAGATTCAGTTGAACAGAGTCAGATGTTGACGCCCGGCGGTCTGGATGTACGCAAGCAGCCACCAGTCGAGCTATCCGAATACCAATTGGATTTGGTAAAGGGTACCGTGGACACCGAAAGAAAGGATTACAAATTGGCTGACACGTGCAGCAGCTGGGCGGACTATCTATATGCACGCTATCATCCGCGCTCATTGAATGTGCTACGAGGCATGCAGCGTCAGACGGATGTCCAAGTGCTGGGCACCCAGGTGGCTGGCGTCGAGCTGTGGCAATCGGTGGCCTTCAACGACGACTTCTGCGATCGCATTCGCATGTATGCAGAGGAATGCGATGCATTGCAGGGCTTTCAGATGCTCTTCGACATTGACGATGGCTTCAGTGGCTTGGCCACCAAGTGTCTGGAGCACTTGAATGATGAATATGGTCGGGCCAGCTATGTGCTGCCGTTACATTATCCACGTAACATTTCCTATGCCCAAGCAGGTGCGTTGCTTGCTCAGAGCACTCCCGAGTTTTTCGTGTTAATGATTTGTTTGCCCATTGCAGATGCGCGCACGGCACACAGCATCCGTGTGGTGAATAGCGTGCTCAGCTATTATCATCTCAGCGAGCAGGCAACCATGTTTACGCCGCTTTCCACGCTGGAGACCATTTGGCGTAATACGACTTTGCAATCGAGACGTATGCCTGGCCTCCACTGGCAGCCGGATAATCTGTACCAGAGCTCTGCTATTTTGGCTGCCTACTTGGATACGGTTACAATGGGCTATCGCCTGCGCAATACGCCGGAGTCGCTGTTGCGCTTTTGTGAGCGCGTTACGCCATCTAATCGCAATATGACGGCAGCTGGCCTATCGCTGCCATTGGGCATGGAACAGGAGCAGGATTTGATTGACTTCCTGGATGGCAGCAATAATGGCTCGTTGCTGACACAGCTAACGCCTGGCTGTGAGCCGGGCGATTCGCATGTTGTACAATCGATTGTGGCACGCGGAATTCCCCATTCACGGCTCAAGCGACCCGTGGACCAGGCCGGTCCGCAACTGCGTATGGCGGCCTACAAATGCGAGAGTGTCTCCCAGATGCTTCTGTTGTACTATCAGTGTGCCTATCATGGCAGTGTAACGCATGCCGCCTCCCTGCCGCTGCCCCTGAACACCAAGCTACCATTTCCTTATGAAATCTTTGATGCACACATCGCAGCTGATGGCTTTAAGCTGCTGGGCCAGGCGGAGCGGGAGAAGGACAATCGTGTGGGCAGCGCTCCAGCTCTAGCTGCTGTACAGAACTCCAGCAAACTGGGCGCGCATCTGGATACATTGCATGGGCAAACGCATCGTGTGCAGTTGGCCAAGCTGCAGAGCTACGCGCAGTCGGGCTTCGAGCAGGAAGAGTACGACACGGCACTGGATAAGCTGCTCGAGTTTAGAGACAACTACAAAGATGATCACTATCTTTAAATCTGTGATAACACACACACACAAACACATAGTTAATAATAATTCACAATCATAATAAACACAGACAGATTCATTATTTTATTTTTATATTTACTTTGATTTTTCACATATGAATTGGTATTGCACATAGTATTTTTTAAAATATTTTTTCTGTTCATTTTTACATACTTTTTCATGCGCTAGTTAATTATTTTTGGGCGCATTTTCGTTAATTCGAATTCTGACATAAAGTGCTCTTATTTATCGGCGTTTATCGATCTTTGCT